CACAGAGTTGCCAGAGGAAGGGAACAGCTAAAGAACAGGAGATGAATTGGGAGTAAAGCCACAGGTGGATGATGAATGGCCCCTCCCAAAGAAAATAAAAGAGGAGCAAAAGGGGAGTGGAGTTTGCAGGAGACATTTGCTTAATTGGTTCGTGACTCTCCGAGGCTCCTTTCCCAGTTTTGCAGATATCAGCCTGGCAGCTCTCCAAGCCAGATAAGGTCTGTGACTGTAAATCCTCCCTTGAAAGATTTTGATGGATTTAAATGAGCAGAAGTCACCATAAATTAATAAAAGGGGTTTTTGTCGGGACCAGGAGTTTGCTTCATCCTCTTGGGATAGCCTAGGTTAAAACAGGAACCTTTATTACAACAGGAAACTAACATTCCTTTGTGAAAGCAGGTGCATTTCCTTAAATTGAAAGGAGCCACACAGTCTCCAAGCGTCCCTTCGAAGCAACCAGGAGGAGACTGGAGGGAGGGAAGAGCAGACAGCAAAGCAATTCCTGTCTGCCCCTCCCTCAATGCTGGGAGTTGAAGTCCCCACCTCTAGTAGCCACACCAATTCATCTGCAAAGCACTCACCCGTCTCTTTCTTTCCAGCATCGCCGTCCTCCGCGAGGAAGTGCCCGTCCAGCTCTTCGACCGGTAAAAACCTTAGCCCCACCAGTAGCCCCAGGACTATGGGCAGAAGTAAGGGGCGCCTTCGCCTCCCCCAGCTCTGTAAAAACAAACTCTCGAGCAGCAAAGAGAACCTGGACACGAGTCGAGAGAACGGTACCCAGCCAGATCCAAAGGCCGCATTGGACTCCCCGGGCAGGGAGCCGCAGAATTTGGGGGACGGTTCGGGAGAACCGGTGGCTGCTCAGGACAATGAGGGGCAGCTATCCAACGGATACCTTTGCAAGCTGAGCTCCTCCAGCAACCACAGTCTCAACGGTCCCCTGGAAGTCCGCCGGGAAGAGGAACTGGCAGATGACCAAAGAGGAGAAATCTGTATTAATCCCATTTATAACTTATATGCAATTTCGGTAGGTATCCCAATGGCCATCTGGTTGGAGGCTCGGTGTGTTTCTTCCCAGCTCAGATTTGGGCTGAGCTACTGCATGAAGGTGGCTAAGAGGCTGAGCTTGTCAATCAGAAAGGTCGGCAGTTCGGCAGTTCGAATCCCTAGTGCCACATAACAGACTGAGCTCCCATTACTTGTCCCAGCTTCTGCCAACCTAGCAGTTTGAAAGCATGTAAAAATGCAAGTAGAAAAATAGGAACCACCTTTGGTGGGAA